AGACAAGGCTCACACGGACACAGTGGGGTACATATGTACAACGTCGGAAACCCCTCCCGAAGAAGCGACTGCATATCCAAAGGGATACAGGGTCTGTAAAAACCACGGTGAAGTTTGCTCGATGTAAAGCCTGAGATTTTCAGTTGGTTCTTCTGCAAGGCTGCGACACCTGCCAGATATGTCAAAAAAAATCTAATTTTTTATTTCTTTTTCTCTTTTTTTAAAGTTTTTTTTTTAATTTTTGCTACAGTCTTTAGACTAAGCATGCAAGACATACAACTAAGTGCAACTGAGTGAAATGTATTTTTATTTACTCATTCCCTAACGGTTTGGACTGAGGTATGCGTACTAACGGTTTCTCATGCTGTTATCTTTACTCATGTCTAGCTACACATGCTGAGAATGAACTAATCTACCGGATTTTTATCCCCTTCTGAATACCCAACTAACCAGCAAACCACTCAGTTTCGAAGCACAGGGCTCAATTCTCATGATCCCTATCTGGCTACCGCCGGCACGTCACGAAGCTGCCTGGATATAATTTAAACCAAAAAAAAAATCATGTTTCTAATGACCACAGACTGCCCTTTTTCTCTTACCTAGTTTTTTTTCTTTTAAAACAGAAAGCGGAGTTGAGTTTTCTAAAAGTGAACCGCCAATAAAATCTCTTGTACCAAAGCTGAGGAGCGGACAGGAGTGCTGTTTCCTCATGAAAAACGCTGACCAAAAACCGAACCAAAACGGAGCGAATGTGCCAAGGCCAACCCAAACCCAAGCAGTCATCCCAGCACGGTCCCGAAACAGAAGTGGCACACGATCTGCAGAACCAAAGACCAAAATTCTTCTTCTAATTCTAGAAATACTACTATGTGGTCCAGTTAAACTGTGGGAGCTTTTCTGTTCTCTTCTGGATTTGATCAAACTGTCTCCTTTATCTGATACCCTAACTTTCCACGAAATTACAACTGCGTCTTTGCTTTCTCCAGCTCCCTTCTCGTGGCTCCACCAGTAACACTGATTCCCAGTTTTAGCCTCCAAAACTCGATTCCTCTTTACAGACGTTCCTTTTGGTCACTGTAAAGAATTGCAACTGAAAAGTAACAACTTTGGTTCAGACATCGACTTGGCCTTCTACATTTTCTAGCATAAAGGAGCAGTTTCCCTCTCAGGTTAGCAATAGCCCACGTCTTGTCATTTCCCTCTAAATTCTTCAACCTCCTTTGATCAACAATAAGAGGATATTTGGCTTCACAAGATAAAGCATATAACAGAGAACATAATTTACCTTTGTGTAATATCTTTGGTAATTTTAGGAAAAAAAAAAGGTACAAAGAAGAATATAAATTAAGCTCTGAAAGGCTTTCTGAAATAATAAAAAAGCTACAGTCCTACATAAATAAATGAGTGACGGAAAAGTGGTTGCAGAATATTTAGGTGTTTGGTGACCGAGGTGTACTGACCTATCCAACAACTCGTGCATGTCCCGTTTGCTCTCAGGAGCCTTTACTTTGGCCAACCCAGCTCTCCCATCTGCTGCGTTTTGGTCTCCACACGGGCTGGTGTAACGCTGAAACCAACCCTAACCGCGGCACTGGGTCTGCACAGCCCAACATGAACACCTTGGCTTTAGTGGGGCTCCGTCCTTATTGACTCCCGGAACAGGTTCAATCTGAAATCTAATTTGTATTCAACCGGATTAACGCCACCACGCAATCCTGAGCCCGTGTTTGACCGCGAAACACCGCCGCGCACACTAACGACTTCATGAAGTCCTCTTTCCAACCACTATTTGCAAATGCAAGAAAGAAACTAAGAATAAAACCTGTCGTAATAGCTGTATAGGTGCCCATCTCGGTAATCTCAGATACTGCAGAAGGATCTGCTGCCCCGTTACGACTCGCATTAAACCACCGAGAAACTGCCACTGTCCTATGCATCCTCTGATAGAAGTGACCTCTGTTGGTGCTGCACACGTTTCTTTGTGCTGTTCCATTTTGTGGCATTTGCTAAAATTCACCGCTGCTGCCAAACACAAAAAATTAATCCAAAAAACCGAAACGACAACGAAATATTAAAAATACTGCTTTGTGGAATGAATCTGTGTTGCTTCCTACAGTGTTTCTATGTTCATCTGTCATTCATTCTCATTCTTGCAGTACTTCGTTCCTCTCTCTCCGCTGGACAACCCTTCCACATGTATAGTGCAGCATTTGGGACCTCGTCAGAAAACGACAACAAAGAAGGAGACACCGAAATGGAATGTTTTCCACAGCTCGAGAAAACGTGGTGGCATCCGAAGGAAACTGGAATGAATGACAGAAAAAACTACAAACGATTCCATGACATTCAGCTTCGTATAATAAAAACACCTATTAACATTCATCACAAAGTACAGAAAACGTCGAAGCCTCCGAGAGGCCCTGGGCCCGGATGAGGCCTGAGGTCAGAACTTAAAATGGTAGAGGAGAAGTGGGGCGGGGGAATCAAAGCAATACATTAAAAAGTTTGGGATAATTTTCTCTTGTAGCCCCTCCCCGCTATACACGCTCACACGCACACACACGTATCCACACACGTGCACACACAGGCCTTCCCCATCCCAAATGGAAGCGGAAAAAAATAATAGAAACCAACCAAAAAAAACAAACGAAATGGAGTAAAGGCAGTGATAATCAACATGCAGTACTGTGCAAATATGTTGTCCATTGGAATCCTTAAAATCTGGGCAAAGACTTGATCTGCAGTTCAGGTGTACATGCTCAGTTTGATGTCCTCAAGTGTCCAAAATTGGCAGGACCTGCAGTCCACAGCTGGCTGCTAAATGCAAGTGAATCAGTTTAGCAAATTTACAACACTGATGTTGACTGTAAGAGAGGAAAATCCCAAGTACCAAACAAGTCCATCCAATGCACAGAGTACAAATTCCTTTTTTCAACAAAAAGTAGAAAAATCAAAAATACTCCCAAATGGGATACTTGATGGCACTAAGAGTTAACATATTTCAGAGTTGTCAAAGTGGACTGAGAATCCTCCAGACTGTACAATAATGGAGAGATTTCACAGCTAAGTTTGACGCGTTCTTCCAAGCTTCATTCTCAGGATGCCGATGCCAGACGTCCTCATTCTATGTCCTCATTTACAGGTTCGTCTTCATAATCTCTGTCGTGGTCGAAATCTGGACTGTGGTTGGCTGTTGTCACTAGGGATAGCGGGCCTTCATTTTCATCTGGGTCTAACGGCTCTTCTTTGACATGCACAGGGTGCCTGGAAAAACCAAAACACGGACACCATCAGCAAAAGGGGCTCGTTAAAGGGCACTTTTGGGTGCTCAAAGCCAGGGTGCCAAGCCTGGGAGCTCCAGGAGAAGACCTTCAATGTCTGAGCCGGCCACCGATGCCAAGCGAAGGCTACGCCAGGGCAGGCAGCGCTCAACCGCCCTGGGAAAACGCTCTGGGAGGAGCCCCTCGATGGGGTTTCCGCCTGGGGACCGAGAGAAAACGCTCTCGGCTGACATTAAGTTGATTAATACAATCTTTGGATAAATAAGCAGAATAAGCATCCGAACGGCAAAGCAGCGGTTTGTCAGCCCGCCGAGCCAGCGGAGGCTGGGCTAATCATCGCTCGCCGTGTGTGCGGCGTCTCTCGTTAACATGCAGAACCTGTGAGACAACTCTCCAGAGGACGACCCCAAGTGAGGTTCTATCATTAATCAACTTCAAGCAAACACAGCAAAGAGACACCATGATACATGCTTTAAACTCCAAATTAATGCATATTTTTACAAACTGTCAATAAGGGAAGAAAAGCCCTGCCAGGAAACACAAACAGAGAGGAAAAGGCTCGCTCAACACAACAATATGATAAGAAAGCGCAGTCCTAACGAGAATAATAACACTGTCAGCTGTAAACAAGGCAGAACATGATCCCCAGCTCACGGTGGGCACAAGGATGCACTGAAGAGATGAGATCTGCCAAATTTCTCATTACGGCACAGCACATGAATAACCCGCAGGGGAACGGGGCTTGGCCATTCCAAACGGGGATGATAACAATTGAAAAATGTTGTTCGTAAATCATATTTACAACAAATCCTATACAAATACAAATTACCTTTTTTTTCCTCTCGTTCGGTGGCTTTTGAAATGTAAAACAGCCATGTGAGTCAATAGTGTCTTGTTGGTGGGACTTTAGAGGAGAGCGGGGTTTTATTGACATTACTGAGTATTAATAATGCGACACAGCAATGGAGACCCTGTTTGCTTCCTAAATAATTGATGTTGTAGGCAATCCCTTAAAATAAAGTGTTAATGAGTTCAAGTCCCGCTCTGTGTCTCATTGAGTTGATATCCACCTCCTAGAGCCTTGTTTTCTCTCCACGCTGGCTGATTTAACCCTTTTGTGTAGGCTACGTGAGAACATAACCTGAAGCGCAAACCCTCGCTTGTAAGAACTTTTTCTCTCCTTGGGAGGTTTTGGTTTAAAATGAATGATTTAAAATAGCTGGGTTTTATTTTATGTTTTGTGTGGATAGCAATGGCAATGCTGTCCGTACTCCACTGCACTGACGGACAGCAAGAATAAATCACTGAGCAGGGAAAACGTGCTCGGTATCCACACAGGAGCCAGAGGTAACCCTGCCTCTTCCAAGCAATGAGGGTGAACCAGTTGTACCTGGTGCAGCCTGCAAAGCTCTGTCACACGGTATTTATTTATTTCGGCTTGAGCCCGGATCAGTTTAGGAAGCATCTAACGTGCTGACTGCACACATTTGAAATGGGAGCTGGGAATGCCTTTCAAGTCCCTGCATATTTCAACTTCTCGAGTTGTCAAGTGCTAGATCAATACTCAAATATTAACTGCACCTTCCAGCCCATCCGACACAGGGACGGTGGGGAGAAGCGATGCAGCATCCACGTACACATCTCCCTGCAAATTCACTGAGTCCCACCAACACAGCCCTGGGAGCAAAGAGCTTCCTCCTCACCTTGGGTAATTTTTGCAAAAATGACAAGGACACACACATTGCTCATACAATTTTGACCTAATTATTTAAAAAAAGAAGGGGGATAAAAGCTTTGGAGGAGACGAGTGAAATATCAGAGGTTAAGAATTAGCAGAAGCAGGTATGAAGTCCCATGAGTGGGTTCCCGTCTCAGAGGTGTGCCTGTGCTGACTGTCCCGGAGCTTGTGGCCCTCGCAAACACTAAACCACGCTGACAATTTGCAACTCGAAAAACTTATCTTATGAATGGGCTGTGGGGCCTCTCACCTGGGAGAAAACATGAAACAAAACACAGAAGAAAAAGGCGGAAAGAGCGACTACAAATAGAGACCAATAGAGCGTGTGCTACTCAGCCTTTATGGCAGTGATCTTTCTTAACGCTGCTTTAATTTAAAAGTCTTTCTTTGTTGGCTTTCTGGTTTTGATGCTGCTGTTGGGCTTATTTTGGGGTTTTTTCTGTATGTGTGTACTGTTTTTGAAAATGCAGATGGGAAATTATTTTCCAAGGACAGAGCAGAACGCACGCAGTGTGCAGCAGGGGCACCTGGGCACACGGACGGGAGTTTCTCCAAAAGCTGCTCAGGTTCCCACCACATCCCCGCACCCCATCGTGCTTGGCCACAGGGCCTGAACAGCTGAGACAGGTACCCACTGCGCTCACAACCACCCGAAATGCTGGGAAAGCTCCTTCAAAAATCCCTGAACCCTTCCAAAGCAAACCCTGCCTCCCTTCTGGGTTTGCTATGAAAGCAGGTGAAACCAGGTGGTTTGCACCGAGTTTCTCTTTGAGGTTTGGTGTGGTTCCCAGAAGCAAAAAAGCCCCAAAACCTTGGGAGTGAAAAGCAAAGCAAGCCCTAAGTTTTGAAAGGGACTGCCCAGCCCCAAGCCAGGGGACGCACGGCCACGCCAGCCCCCTCAGCAGCACAGACATCAGACAGCTCAGCCAAAACCCCGTCCCCCAAATTAAGAGGGTTACTGGGGTAATGTAACCCCAGGGAAAGGTCTGCATGGAGAATAACAACAGAATATTTAACTCCTTGCATACTTTGTCATTCTTCTGAGGAGGAAACCTTACTGAATCTGTGATTTCGCTCAAACATTTCAGGGTTACTGAAATAAAGAAGCTTAAGTAAGATCAGAGGCGAAGGAGTCTTCATCTCTCTCAAGTCTGAATCTCTATTTACCACCTCACCAAAACCCCAAAACTGGGAAAGAAAAACTTCCTTTAGAGGCTTAAGAATTTGGTCTCTTGAATTACAGAAAAGGTAAATGCTGGGCTAGGCAAAAAGAAAAAGAAGGGGGTAAGGAGAAAAAGCCAGGGTTTCCCATTTCTTCTTTAGAGTGGCAGAATTTCAGCACATTCCTTTTAAGTTGACTCAGGACTCCAGAAGGGGTTAACAATAAATAACCTTGCTGAACACAGATTCCCCTTCTCTTCACATCTGAGTAATTCTTTTGTTTGTCCACTCTGGGAACAGAGGAGTTTTTAATAAAGCTGACTGTTGTTTAAAGCCACCGAGCTCTGGTGGTGCACACAGCATGGAGCAGTTTGCTTTGTGGCTACCTTTGGAGCATATCAGGATGAAAGTGTTATGTCCCCAAGCTGTAATTATGCGACTACTTTCTAGTGTTTCAAAAGGAGGGAGGGAGAAGGGGGAAGGGGGGGGGAACCCCCTAGCTGTGGTTCAATGTGTCATAAAAAGGAAACGAATGAGCGGTAATAAGACTTCAGCTGAAGTGTTAGACTTCTTAGCTGTCATGTTAACAAGGTCCTTTAAACCTCGCAATAAAGTTTAAAGCTTGATTTAGTGTAATGTACTGAAATTGTTTAAAAAATAAGTTGCATTATGACAAGGAGATCTGTTCTGAAAATGTGGTTAACAAAGCAGGCTTGCAGAAAGCAAGAGGTTGCACGGTGTCTGGAAACCTGCTGGGGGTTCCTGGTTTTATTTGGTAAACAGGGTAAACCCCGCAACGTGACAATGGCGTTCTGGCTTCAGATCCCTCCAAACTGCTTAGAGACACCGTTTTAACGGGGAAACTCGGAGGCCGCTATAGGAACATCACCCGCCTGTGTTTTACTTAAGCAAAAAGAAATGTTCGGTGGAGAACACACATATTATCAATTCGGAGAAAATGAAAACACTCAGGAAACAATCATTTCCATATTACAACGGAAAATTGGATTTTCTGGCGAATAATGAAAATGAGGCGTTCCTCCCCCCGTCCTCCTCTCCAGTATTTGTTCCGTGCCCCTCACCTTGGTATCAATGTGCTAAGAGATGACTATTAAGTGCAACAAAGGCCACGGCTATGCCCAATTCTGGAAGGTGTCCTAGCCTGTTTCAACTCGGTTATTTTTCCCTCCTCGCAGCCTCTTCAAAGACAAGGAAACCTTGGGTGAAACAAGAAGTGCGTGAACTACGCTAGCCCTGAACTCGCAAGAAAATAATGACTTGGATTAACGCAACATCATAAACGTTCACCCCTGCCTGGTGGGCCAGGAGAAACCCCTGGGAGAAGCCTCGTTGCTGGAGCAAAGCCGTGTCCCTCCGCTCCTCCTTCGCGCCGGCCCCGCGTGGTCGCGGGCAGAGGATAACGAACTGCGACTCAAACTGCCTGGAGACGAATCCGCTTGTGAGCGGCGGAAAGTGTGTCATGCAACGCGACTGCGGGAGAGATAATTAATACTGCACAAACAACCGCTGCAAACGCTAAACACATTACTGGAGTGTTTTGAAGTAAATGGTAAAAGACAATGTTTAAATTAATTATTAATTAAAAATGAATGTTGCCATCTTTAAAGATTTTTTTTTTTCAAAGCACTTTGTGCGCTGATTTAAAATGCCGCAATATCAAAGTATCCAGAGCCTCGGATTCCTTCGTGCCCCCTCCCCTCTGACAACACATTATGCAGGTGGGAAACTTTTTTGCCATTAAATGCTAATTAGTTTCACAACTAATTACTATCATGGTATTAGGTTAATGTTTTTTCTACTTTTTGATTTAGACTTACTTTTGTAAATCCCTTATTCAAATTACTTTGAAGTGAAAGACTACAAATTAGCTCCCTTTTTAATGCGTAATGTGAGCTGTGGTGAGCCAGCCAGCAGTTTTACAGCCCGTTGTAGGAACAGCTCACGGCTTTCACACACGGTCACTCGCACAGGTAGCACCCGCTCCGCAGAGCTTTTAGAGGACTGCAAGACTTATAAACCCCGTTTCCTCACCAGCTGCCAATTCCCCGGTATGTAATTTGAGGGGAGGGGGGAATTTACAGCTCTGCAAACTCACTCCATCACCCCATAAATACTGCACACACCCATCGGCGCATCGCACCCTTCCTGCCTTACCCCTTCCTGCTGCCCGGGTGCCACTCGCACCGAGCGGGGACAGCGATCGCCCGTGACTTCATGTGGTTATGTACGCACTCATTATACAGTCGTCTGTTGCTATAATGCTCCTATTAATTTTCCTTTTGATATTTTAAGAGCAATCTATAAATCACGTGTGCCATCGTTAATGCTCAGTGAGACTGTTGTGCGTCGAGTGGGTTTTCTGTAAGACCAAGCCCATTTCCCAGCTCTGCCTCACTGGCCGTGCTTGTCACATGGACCAAAGGGGAGAGAAAGCACAAGCTTTTTCTCCAAGAAACACACCTGCTTTGCAACGTTTAAAGAAGAGAACAGCAAGTGAGTTAACAATTTTATAGCTGTGTGTGCTTGTTGGACCAGATTGAGCTGATCAGTTTTACGAGGAAATTGGAAAATGACCCTTTCGTGTTCTAATCAACCTGAGCGTGTCCCCAGTCGGAGATATCCACTCTTGCTGCCCCATCCACAACCTCAGGAACCAACTGCAAAGGCTCCAGAGCCAGGCTCCAGCAGCTGGAAAGGCAATGCCCAGAGCGCCGTGCACCTCTGCCGTACTTACATTGCTTGCATAGGGGAACGTCCTGGACTACTGTCACTCCCGTTACTGTTCGTATGCTCCATTGCACCGTTAAGCTCTTCCCTCATCGCGCTGGCTAAATTGCCCAGAGTGGGATTTCCCATGGAAGCAGTAGTGTATAGAGGTATACTGTTCTCAGCCATTGAAGCCTGCCAGGGACACAAACAGACGAAGAGCCATGACTAACGTTTTATACATTGCACAACACGCTTGCTTCTTCCAAAACATTCTCCACATTGAAATTATTTGCAATTACCATTTTTTAAAATATTGTGTTGTCTGATAGGTATTACCCTCATTCCACCAAGGGAAATTTCACATCATTTACATCTGGGTTTAAGCATTCAGAGCTGTATTGGCTTCTGTGAGGACGGAGCTTTCCACTCCCTGTTTGGAATTAAACCCTCTGGAAAAAATAAAACGGCTTTTTCCTATTTGCAGTTTGCAAAACTATGTTTAGGGCTTTGGGTTTGTTAGTGGCTTGGGTCTGGGTCTGGGTTTTGTTTTTAATGAAATGGGGAAAAAAATCCGAATGAAATCAGCTGATAACACCTTCCTACCGGAGCAAATGGGCACCGAGTGCGAGGGCAGCATCACCAAGTTTGGTTTTTCTCGTGACACAAGGACAAAGCTCTGGTTAGCACTGACTGGATCAGTCCGAGTTGCAGTGATCTACCTCAGACCTGAACCATGGGAAATTTTGTAAGCCTCAGCAACTCAGCTCTTACCTCAGCGACTACAGATCTGACCATTTTATTTCCATCTTTCCTCCTTCTAAAGAAATACCCTGCAGAGGCACGCTAGAGTTAACTTTCTAAATGGAAATCATTGTAGGAAGAGAATGAACTGTTAAATATTTTCCTTCTGATTCCCACCGTTCTGCCTGCTAATATTGACTGTGTGTCAGCATTAGCTCATGTGCTGTGCTCGGGCAGCAGTGGTGGGAGCGCAGCAGCCCCGAGGAGCCCAGTGTTTGGGGCGGATGGGACACGCGGGTTTCCACGGCCGGGGACTCGCAGGACATTGAAGTGCTTCACCCATCCCAGCCGGCCCAGGCTGACATCATCCCAGCTCTCCCAGCCGTGTCAGCGCCCCAGAGCCGCAGACGCTGGCTCGGCAGCGCTTGACCTGCTCCGGGGGAAGGTCAGCCGGCGGCGGAGCCAAAAAAATCCATCGGGCTCCGGGTCCGCATGATGCAAACCCTGCCCGTGGGAGGGGAATTCATGCAAATGAGAGCTGAGCGCTCTCGCCTGCTCCCAATTCGTGGGACAAAACTCCTCGCTTGTTGCCACCCAGAGCTGCTCCCAGGCAAGCACAGCCCAAAACCGGGCAGGGGGAGATGGGATGGGAAAGGCGGGCAGGACCGGCCCTGACTGCAGCATCTTCAGGAGCACGGCCCCTTTTATTCTTCCTTAGGTTGACCTCTCCATGTGCAGCCCGATGTGTCACACGTGATTACAAAAGCTATTCTAACGGGGAGGATTATTTTTATCTTCTTGATTCAACAACCGGCAAACTCATTGTGATTAGGGGATGCACAGAACGGTTCACATTTCCTGCACTTGGCAAAATAATGACTCAAGTTCTTCACCCATAGTGATAACTTGTAATTGCAGTAAAGCAATTTACTGGGGGAGAGGTGGGCCATGAGGAGTATCTGCTATAAAGATAATAACAGGGGAGGGGGTGCTTTGGGAGTCCCTGGTGACCTGCTGGGAAAAGAGAGCACTGGGGAGAGCTGGAGTCACCAAACCTCCCGGACACAGAGCATCGGTCTTTGCAGACACCCACAAAAGTCAGGGGAACACCGCTCATTAAGTATTAATTAGGCTGAATGCAGGCACTGGCAGGTACAGTGGCCTTATGTCCTAGGAGGTTATGGCCTGAGCGAGGTATGAACTGGCCACGGGGCTTCACCCATATGGCTTCACCCAAACCCCATCCGGCACCTCAGCACCCCTGGGATCCTGCCTCCAAAATCCAACTGTGGGGAGAGCAGCGAGGAACCTGCTGGGGTATTTCCAACCTAAACGAGGACCTGTCTTAGTGCAGTGAATATTGTTAAGCCCCCATGTGAAATCAGGCCCAGGCTCTTTTCTCCGTCAGCCGAGTTCACATGATGCTATGGGGGCACACGAGACCCTGCCACTTCCCGGAGAAGCGGGAAATGGAAACGGTTTGGGGGTTATCACAGAAGACGAGAATGGATGGAGATGACGACAACGACACGTGTTTCAGAAATAAAACACGAACAGTTCCATATGATAAGCATATTAATTGGAATTAGTCACATAGCTAACAATGTGGAGAAATGCGGGATCATTTCATTTTTGCCTTTCAGCCTCATGAATGTAAAATGTGCTTGTAATCTTAATACTATTCAAGAGACAAAGCAGTCTTTAAAAATCACACTTCACAAGACTCAAGGGAAAATAAGTTACTAATGAATGGTATTTACAGTTGCTTCATTTAAACATGCTTTCATTTGCTTTTCAGAAGTTACTGCATAAACTGGAATAATTACAAGAAATGCAGAACATCGCTTTTCTCCTAATAAGCTGTTTCTTGGTTCTGAAAAGAGAAGTTTGCTAAATCTTTCACAAAATGCGGCTGCCCAAGGAAAAATCCATGGTCCTGCGAAGTGACCCTCACCAAACCACCGGGGTGCACGCACAGCGCTGCCTCCTGGATGAATTCACGTTGTATGGGATGGGCTTGGACCCCCACACAAGCACACGCACCCCCCGCAAATCCAGGGTGCAGCAATGTGTTCGTATCCTGGGCTCATATGAGCCAATATTGACTTTACCTGGGGTTCCTGAGATACACTCAGGAATTTGTAGAGAAGGGAGAAAAATGTCAACCTGATGTACAGCGCATCAGAAAGACCCATGCACTTTTAGGCTGCGAGTTATTAATTGTGCACCAACACTGTGCATCTCTACCTCGCGAAAACCCAGAATTTTTGTCTTACAATTACAGTACAGTTTAAACCAATCAAAATTATCGGGTTTGGTTTTTTTTTTTTGTTGGGAATTGCAATGTTTATTTTTTACCCACAATGGGAAGCCATGCAAAAAAATAGCCCTTAAAAGAAAAGGGGGAAAACCGATCAGCTTTCTCTTTAAAGCCACGAACAATAGAAGGTCACGTGCCGCAGTATCCTATCATTCAGCACATTAATAGCTGTGCTGGAGTAATTACACTTGTGGTATTTTTGCCTCAAGTGAAATTCTGAAATAAGAGGATGGAAATTATGATACTGCTGATAAATATTAATAAGTGAACTTTTAATTTTTTTGCCACAATATTCAAAATGCTAAGCATCTAGCTAATGCTGAAGCAGCCTGATATGTGTTTGCCTCCAGGGACTATGATGCTTTATGCACTTAAGAAAAAAGTTTAACGGAATTAAAATTTAATATCTAATTAGAGCAAGGCTAATATATTTTGAAATGAGTGGGGAAGACACACGCCTCTGTTGCATATTTGCTACAGTCATTAATCTTACCTGTAAAGCAGCATTGAGAGGTGTGCAGTAGGTGTGGCTGGTCTGTATGTTTTTAATAAGAGAAGGGTTACTGCATAAGAAAAACATAAAAAGGAGAGTTAAATGCAACCAACTTCTGTGCGAGTGTTTCAAGCATGTAACGCTTCCTCCCACACCAGAAAACTAGAGCTGAGACTGTTTTTCCACACAAGTTCTCTTTCATTTCTCTTTTTTTTTTATTTTTAATTTAAATAAAATAGCTAAGTTTTAGTCTGTGGTTATCATATTTGCCTTTACTAAATAAGGAACATCATTATCTCTCGACGGTACCTCGCCATGTGTTCTACTACCCTGCCTTAGTAGCACATCTTGGCATCTCATTTTAGCTGCGCTCAGGAGAAATTCTCCAATATTGGTTGTGTCTGGAGCCAGCTCCCATGTAAGGGCCCATCACCGGGAGGCCACGATCCAAAGCATCGCGGGACATTCTGAAGACTACATCAGGCAAATTATTCTTTGCCAGCAAAATCCCCCGCGCTGGAGCAGAGGGACTGCGATGAGAGAGGATTTGAGCCACGTTATTTCCTGGGGGGACATGGGGAGTGGTCCTGGTGAGGGGCTGGGGGCGCGGAGGCACAAGGACAGCCGCAGCACAGCAGGACGGACCACGCAGAACAGCACTAAAGGCCGCTTTAATAAAATATGTTCTGGTGTGCTATTTTGGACCCTTACTTTAGTCATATTAAGTTTACATAAGGGGAGGGATTTGCAGAAGATGAATGCCAAGCGTATCTGCTCTCCCTTTAGTGGGCATCTAAATATCACCAAAGTGAGGGGGGTGTGAATAATAATCAAATACAAACTAGGTAAGAAATGCCAATGCAAAAAAATCTCCAGAAAGTTTTATCGCTCGCCAGGCATTTTTATTTGTGTACTTCTTCATGTGGGAGTAAATCGTGGCGAGAAGAGGCTGAACTGAATCCCGCCCCCAGGGACCAGCAGGGATCAGTTGTCCTGGAGAGATGGCCTTCGAGTAAAGGTCAAAGAAAATTGCTTTGGGAAGCCCAGGAATATCTGTGTGGCTGTTGTAGACACACGACGGCCTGTTGATTATCACCTCTATGGCTGGTCTTACTGCGCTTCCAAACTTTCTGAAGTTAATTCAGCATTTCTGTCTTATAAGCACCTCACTCTATTTCTGATCGAGCTGCAATACAAGGCATACACCTGACAGCAAAGGCAAGTATCAGAATTAAAACTTATCTGAAACATTTTCTGGCATCTATCTGTCTTCCTGACAGGACTACAGCAGCGTATCTGCGCTAGCGCGGATAACTATTTTAGCCTAGATTGAACTATAAACAAACGCTGTAACAAACACGTCAAAGCAGAGTTATTACTACAGGCATTTGGATTATCAGAGTAGGACACACAAAATACACGTAACAACCAAAAATTTAGTTTCTTTAGCAGCAAAGGTGATGTCACTATTTCGTGAAATGCAAGTCTACATGAGATGGGTAAATCATGCAAAGCAAAGCAACAGCAGAAAAAAAAAATTAAAGCAAGTAAAAGCTCTTACTGTGCAACAAGCTCGCCAAAGTTTTCATCAGGGCAGTATTTTCGAGGACGGCCTCGTTGAATATGACGGCCACGTTTAAACTCTTCATCATCAACAGTCCAAAAGGACCCAAACTCATCCTCTACTCTGATAAAGCACTTATGCAGTGAGAGGTTGGTGCGAATGGCACCCTGGGACAAGAGCAGCAGCAAAGGAGATGAAGTGGAAACAAAGGGACACGGGATCGGGGACAGAACAGACATCAAATACAGGGAAAAGGAAAAAGAAAATAAAATGCAATAAGCATAAGCAAATGGTTTGTGAGGGTTAATATGCATTGCCACCTAAAAGCTACTAGCATGTGATGCAACAAACACCAAGCAAGCAGGGTCAGGGTACTGGTGGGCATACAAACAGTAGTGATGAGATGTTGGTCTTGGTTTCCCTTAACTGAGACAATGCGAAACCACCTGCGGTTGGTCTAACACCAGCTAGCAGCCAAAAGCCTCTACGTTAAACTGTAAGCATGATCCAAGCTAGGCTAAGAAGTTCAAACATGGTGGACATACCCACTGATCTTTTGTGGCCTTCGTTTTTGGAACTCTACTTCATCCACTGTCCATACTGCCCCTTTAACGTTTTCTACTCGCACAAAACACTTGTGAAGACTAAGATTATGACGCACTGCATTCTGCAGCAAGTATAAAAGAGAAAACATTCAAAAACTTTCTATGAGAAAATGCTCATCATCGTCCAAGAACAGCAGCACAGTCAGCTTGACAGTCCTCATTTTGCAACGTTAAGCCCCTTCCCCTCGCCGCACCCGCTTGCTTTCCCCGGCTCTTTACATCTTATTTTTGCAAATACAAAACAAATATAAAAGCTCAACCCCGAGATTAAAAATTCAAGTTATTCTTATCAGTTATCCCCAGTGTGAACGAGAACAGCCATCATTTATGCATGCATGTTGTATAATACAGCACATTTCATACGGAGCGCAAGAGGAACATTGCTTAAACATTTTCAAAACAAATAAATACACTCTGCAAAGAGAAACTTCTCATCTCCTGGAAAAGAATGCGGTTAGAAAGAACAGAAAGGGTTTCAAGTAAGTACAGAGAGCTCCATTTAGCAAAGGCTCTGGAGCTGGTGCTGCTGCGTGTTCCCACAGTGGGGCTAATGCTGATCAGGTGCTGAACCTCCATCTGCACCCATGGCATGGACAGGGGCTGGGCAGCACCCCACAGCCAGCACAGCACCCACTCCTGCCTCCACGGCTTGCTCTCCTATGGAAGTTGGCTCCTATTTCTGACAGAATACTGCACTGCCCGATTAGAGCCTCTGCCAAGGAAAAACGTGAGGAGGATTCTCCAAAACACAGTGATCATGTCTCCACACCTCAGCACCCAGAGGGACTCATGGTGCCCAATGCTCTCGTCCTCTGCTGCTCAGCACCAGGAAAGGATGCGCTCAGCCAACCCCTGAGATGCGTTCAGGCCTTTGCTGAAGCTGAACGAGAGAGACGCTTCACTATATCATGGCAAGCTGCTGGCTTTTCTGCCCCTGTTCCCTCTGAAACGGTGCTGAGAGCTTTATTACTCCTCCAATGGAGCGCCATGCTTCTTCCCCTGCTTTAAGAGTTTTCTAAGCAAATACCCTACTGCAAAGCCACTCGAATTTGTACATGGAGCTTGTCCCCAGCGCTGCTGAAAGGGGACAGTGAACAGGGAAAACAGAAGAAGCCATTTGCTGAAGATATGCAGGGAACAAACTCCATCCATCATCACTGGCACCATTGATTTAGTCAATCTGGTTGACTCGTTAGCAGGCACGATGCCAGCCAAACACATGGCCTGGGTCTAGGCAACCAAGACTACGATTTTTTTTCCTTCCGTCGTTGTCGTTGTCTTTTTTTTCTTTAATGAACATCGGGTCTGGATGGTGAAAGGGAGCTCTAATCATGAATGTCTAAATCACTGTGCGAACAAAGGCTATGCACAGAGCATTTGTCATGGAAATGCAGAGGCACTGGTGTGTGTGCCTGCCAGGGGAAGGCTCGGAGGCTTTTCCTACTTTTCCATGTCTCTGCCATCACCAGCGCTGTCCCCACGCTCCCGTCCCCTGGTACAGGGGCAGAGTCAGGGCCCAAAATGCCTCTGCTCAGCAGAAGCTGGAGTGTAAACGCGTTCCCTCTGGCTGGAGATGCCTGACCCTGGCACTTCAGCTCCTCCACACTGATCTGCTTGTGAACTGCTGGAAAAGTAAACCTTGAATGTGCTTTTCCTCTCAGCAAGGCAGAAACCTAGCAGAAAGTCACCCTGTCCATCAGGGCTGCTTCTTTCTGCCCTTACTTTCTTCTGCTTTTATTTCTTCATGATTTTTTTTTGTTCCCTCCCACCTCTCCCAGATTTCACTGCTTTTGAAATTTTTGGCCAACTCCCCAATTTTGTGGTGGAGGAAAAACACCCCAACACCCCACACCTTTCGGGCTAAAAGCAGCTGGCTCAGCAACTGCTGGTGGGTGCCGCAGCAGCGCAACCCGACACAGGGCTGCACCCACAGCTGGGTAATGTGGGCAGTTTCCTGTGAAAATGGGAACCCTGTCAAGTCTGGAGCAAAAACCTAAGAATAATAATGCTGCTTCCCCTGGTGAAAGCTGATCTGGTAGTTCATGCAGCAGAGGATCAAACACACACAGCAAAGTTCAGCGAAGGGAGTCCTCAGGGTTTGTGAACAGTCTCTAAACGCACGGTTGAGCAGAAATATCTGTGTTCTTCTTTAAATAAATTTAATGCCAGAGAAATACTTCCCAGTCTGTTCTTGCTCTCCCAAAGTCAGTGTCCAACTGATGGTTGAAGCTGCTGGACTGGGCTCTTGCTGAATACATTGGGCCAGACAAGTGGAGTATTTGCAAGGCGTCCATGAAGCGTTGCCCTTGCTTTCTTATTTTCCACGTGATCACTTATTTAAGGAACTCATGGCAGAAAAAAAAGAGTCGTTGTGCTTCCCCTGCCTCTGGATCCTCTCTATCCAACAGTTTGGTTTGAATGCTCCAACGTTTGGGAGCCACACCTGCAGCCGGTGCCTCATGGCTGCGACTCAGCGCCAGCAAACTCCTCCCAAAAATGCAAGCAAACAGCCATTGCCTCTGACCTGTCAGGACCAGTTCACACCGCTACCCCAGCAATCAGCTTAACAGAAAAATTAGGAGCTATTATTGTAAGATTATATATTTACCTTCTTAAAAATATTTGTATGCAAGCCACTTTTGCAGAAAAATTACCCTGAACGTGCTTGAATGTAGTAAATGAAAGGGTTTGTTATTTTAATAACTGCTCAGGCTCTGCTGTGCTGCATTTTGGGAGAGAGGTTCATTTTTCAAAGGTCTTTCTTTCCTGCACTCCTCTGTGTTTCTGGAACAGGGCTCAGGGAAGCCTGCCCACACCACACCCTGACCCTAAACCTGGGCAACACTGACCCAAACGCCCCCTAAGCACTACCTGGAGGTGAACGCAAATCAGCACGTATATATTCAAATTACTCTGATTCTGCAATTACCCCCTTGTGCTTGTTCTGTGCCCCGTGGGCTTCTCATCACGCCAATCCAGAGCTGCATTTCCATCCCTGCTGTTCCTGAAGGCTGGCATAAATCTGAGCGGTCTTCAGCACGAAAGCCTGCATTACTTCAAGCAGCGGCCAATTTTGCTGGCTCTTGGTGATGTTTTTCTTTCCAGGTAAGTGAAGCAGGACCTGGACACCTGCACAAGCTCAAGGTGTCCAAGAGGGGTCTCAAATGGTACCTGCCCTCCCCAGGACACACCTTGCCCTTCTGCAAGCCCGAGGGTCTGCAGCTCAGCCTCTCTCCTCTGCAGAAGCACACTGCAAGCTCACGTGGCTTCTGGGACTGATCTTGCACGATGCACAAAGCTAATTCCTAAAACCAGGCTCACAGGAGATAGGACCAGGGCCGTCTGCTGCCTTCCTCCACTCCCCTCTCCACTTCCCTTCCCTTTGCTGCTGTAATTAAATAGGATTTTTACGTTAGCACCCACACCTGCAGCTGCTGAAAAGCCCTACTGGAACCACTCCAGCGGCAAAAGACAGGCAGGTCTAAAAGGATCTTAAATCAGGGAAAGTTAATTTCCTTTCTGGATAGCAAGGAAGCTGCGAAGTGAAACACTGCTCATGTTTTCCAACTGCAGTGAAGAATCAAAGCAGCAACCACGGAGACTTTTCCTGAACCTAACAGCTTCTAGGCCAAGGTCGAGAACGTACAAAATTGCCCCGAGATGTGAATTAAAAGCAAAACATGCTACTAAAACCCGAGCTAACTTCCAAGGACCATTTCTAGCTTCATCCTCTGAAGGAATTAATCCTAAATGCAGGCTGAGATAGGAAAAACAGAAAGAGCATGGGGCATATTCATCCTACCTGGTCATTTGTGGTTGGCTGAGAGCAACAGCATTTTCTAGACTAAGAGAAGCTCAAAGAACCGGGAGTGCAATTCTTACAGTGATACAAGATGCTACTACTTGATTCATTCATTTGTAACTGCACTAGCTTCAGAAGCCAGTGTGGCTGTTATAATGGTAAATGTAAGGGAAGGAGCATCCCCCAAAATACAAAATAAAATGAACTCCCCAGACCTCTCATCTAACAATATCTGAGATGGTTATGGTAGGAAATTAAAGTGCCAAATATCAAGTTTCTTTTTCTCAAACACAATTCTTATTGTGGGGGTTGCTTCTTGCATATCATGTTCAATAGGCTTCTGCTGTGTGATTTAAAAAAACAAAGACATTTATAACAGATCTCCATAGATAGTTGAGAGTCAACTGATTGAGGCAAGAAATCCACTTATCTATAGATCCTAGGAAAAAAAGCCATTGTTGTGATTACAGTCTGCATTCCTAAAAAGACAAACAGTTCATCTTCTACTGACACAATAACTTCACCTCTTTCTTTTTTTCTCCCCTAATACGTTCCAGCTGAAGGGCTTGAGTTTCGCTGCTAGCAGCAACCACGCAGAGGAACTCGTGGCATAATCACAGCACATAAAAGCCAATAATGGGGATTCAATTAGTGGTTTTTCAAAGGTAGAAGAATTTCTCTGCCAAATATCAAATCGTTCCCACAGATAAGGCACCCAGCAAGTGTCACAACTGCCGGTCTAAACTCTCGTGTCCGCATGTCGTGACAATTTGTTGTGTCACCGGCGACGTCTCCTCTGTACATGGCAGCCAGCAAAGGCAAGCGGCGCGGGCGGGCTCGGGCTTACCTTCCACGTCGCCGCGTTGCGCCTGAAGTACGCAAACATCCGCGTGAACCAGTTGTAGATCTCGTTTAGTGTTAGCTGTTTCTCGGGAGATTCCAGGATGGCCTTGGGAAGCAAAACCATCGCAAGATCAGTCACGAGCCCACCGGTACAAAACACGTGCACAGTTTTACTTCACCCGAGACAGAAAGGAAAGAATAGAAGAAAGGAAGCAAGAAAGAAGAGATTTGGAGCAAAAAATCCAAAGCGGGGTTTTCACAATATGAACTAAGATTAATGGCTGTATTTAACAGTTCAATGGCAAAATTCAAAATGGAATTATCTAATTGTTTTGAGTTTTTATTTCTGTTTCCTTACAGAAATATTAATTTATTAGTCATTCATAAAGCAGAATCAAAGAGAAATGCAAAACATTTCACTAGCTGATTAAAGCTCAGTAATTATTTAGAGCTCAGATTAATTCTAGGGATCAGAGATTACTGTAGCTTGTGATAATTGACTTGCCATCTTTAAACAGGCTCATTTTCACTGTTGTGTGAAATGAATTTCCTAATAATCACATCGTATTGTAATACTTAATCAAAAGCAATTATGTTATATATTGCAGTTCTAAAAACCCTTATAGTAAAGGTTTGAGCATTTGAGCACGCTTACATACCAAAGGTTTGAAAATCTATTTAATCCAGAGTGTGCACATATAGGGAGATTTTTTGTTGTTGTTCCTTTCTAATCCAAACGCGCGTGTTTGGCTCGGCTTACCTGTCTAATTAAAGATGCATACGTGAAGGGTGGTCTAACTTCTGCGTTCTTATAAAATTCTTGGTTCTGGGCAATATCTGCTAAATAAGAGCAGTTGTTCTGTTATCATCACAGCCTCCCACTGCCAAACTGCGGCCAGGAGCCGCCCGGCCAAAGGGGCTGCACCACCAGAACCCCTGTACCTGAAGAAATGGGGACGTTGTATTTATCCGAGTACCGCCTCCGGATGGGCCCGACGTTGTGCATGCTGGTGGTGGTGATGACCGACGGTCCCTGCGTGACGGGAGTGATGGGCGCAGTCGGGGTGGTGGGGGTATGAGGTAAGCTCTGCGGAGATGCCTCGGACGCGGTCTTGGAAAGCGTGACGCTCGATACCAGATTCAGCTGCGGAGGGAAGGACGGGGCTTTCGTTACCAACGTCACTGCTGCCTAATTAAGAGCTGCAGACAAAATTCTCAGTAACGGGGTCTTCTTCAGTTTGAAGCAGTTTGCGCTTGCTTCGGCACAAAATGCTGCTGCAACATCTCCATTAGGAGCCAGTAAAGGGAAATAAACATATACATTTCTGGATAGACTTAAAAAAAATGAGTAACGTAGCCTGCTGCCAGAACTACAAACTGTGGATTTGTATCTAAACCTTCAAACAAGATCTCATGCGGTACATAATCATTTTAATATTTTATTTTAGTTCCATTGTTTCACAATCTAAACCCTGCACATCTCTTATTTCCACGCTATCATTATGCATGGCTTCTAATCAATCTTCTTGGATATTTCATTGAAGGCATCGGGCTTAAAATAAAAGGCAAGACTTTCCTAGGGACGTACTAGGGAGAAACACAATCTCTCTCTTCAGCATTTGGCTTTTTGGCTTTTTTTTCCTTTCCTCCCCCTCTGTTCATCCATTTTAAAAGCAAAGCCCAGAGTAGGTTAACACTGGAATAATTTAATTAATCACACTGCGTGAAATACTGCAAATGTTCAGCCCAGAAGTGGCACCGCTCTTTTTTTGTTTTGTTTTTTCCTCCTAAAGGCATCAGCGTTACCTGCACAGAGCCCAGCCCCAGACACACGGTAGCGTGAACCACAACCGCCTCTGGGACCACGCAGCAAACCCCGCTCCACCTCCAGTGTTCTCCATGCACAGCCCTGTTTATACAACCAGCATCCATGCTCCTCCCTGACCCTTTCTCTTCGCCCTACAACGCCCTTTGGAAGACGCTGCTCTGCTTCAGTAGGTCACTCCCGCTGAAGTATTTTAAACAAACAACCCCATCTCTTAACCACAACATCAGAAAAGGTGACTGAGGAAGGGGCTCTTTGACTGCTTCCACATTTCCTTCCCTCAGGTGGTTTTGCGAATAATAATGGTGAAATCCTGACCCCACTGAAGTCGGTAGCAAAATTCTTAGTGAATTTAACAGGGACAGAATTTTATGACTTTTGTTCGAGATTAAAATGACTTTTTTGCTGGCTATTAAGCCTTTTCAGATGAAGGCAAGGCGCAGTGCTTAGCTATGCCCCCATACATCTCATGTTTATCCATAAGGCACTGTATTAATTTTCCTCATATGAAAGTAACCAGGTAAAGAAACTCCTATCAGCACCCTTCCTATGAGTTAACAGCCACAAATAACGTTTCTTTCTAAAAATAACAGGATTTATCCCAAACAAAGGTGGTGGAAAATAAAGGGTTCTAACATTACAGAAAGGAAACCAGCACAAAAAGCCCATCGCCCACAGAAAAGGTGCAGCCCAGCAACAGATAAATGATGATTGCTTCTTGCTTCTGACAGCGAGACAGAGCACACCAAGGGAAACCCCAGTTCCGAACACCAGCACAGCTGGGCACTGCTGCAGAAGCAGAGGTGGGGAGCAGCAGCCCTAAAACCACCCGCTCTGCTGTGCAGGTGTGCAGAAAACACCGCTTCTCCTTCCAGCGGGAAATATTAAACGCCTTGTGGCAAGGCCAAGAGCACAGACCCGGCAACGGATCGCTAAAGGCAGTGAAATATGAGTATGGATTCCCTAGAGCACTCCTGCTTGAACCCCATGATGCCAGGCACTGCCTTCCTGTGGTGCCCGCGAGAGCCTGGTCTGCTTGGTGGCTGATTTAAGGGCACCGAATAGGGCCATGTATATAGCAATGTGTCCCTGTTATCCACCCATCCATCTTCTACATAGGATAAAAGGACCGGTGACGTTAATAACAGTACAACTGACAGGGCTCACCACGAAATTAAATCTGCTGTATTTTATCTCGGTTTCTAAATGGACATTTTAACAGTCCAATAACTACGAGCAAATCTGCATCAATTTCAAGCGCCCGTCTCTAGCGCAGGCTCGGCAGCCGGGCCCTCCTGTTGGAAAGATCACGGCTCGGGCTTCATCATTACGGCTCCAACAACTCCATTTCAAAAGAGTCCCCTTCCTTTTTTAGTGTGTAAAAACTTAACATTTAATCTGTTTCTGCCAGGGAACTGCAAGAGAGGATCCACAAAGGTCAGCGTTCCCTGCTTGAAGAATCTGAATCGAGTTAAATTTCTTCAGGCTTTTCAGCGTAGGTAGCAACTAGGAATAAACACAGAAGAGGACGAGCAAAGGGGGGGGCTTTAACAGGCTTGACAAATGACACTGTGATTCACACCCACTGCTGGGCTGCCACTAATAAGCTACAGAGGAAGCAGCCAATCTCAGCTAATTACCAGATAAAATTGTATTGTAAGGACTCTAATTAGGAGATGCTTATGGAGGTGATCTAATGATTAAACGCCGCATCCGAGTGACCCCACCATCAATGTGCAGTGGTGCAAGATGTCACCGGAATATTTTGTAGAAACAGTAATTTTATTTCAAGGAGGGGAGGCAGTAATATTTGTAATAATGGCTATGAGGTAAACTAATTAAAAGACAGTTCCTAAAGGAAGACTGTGGCTTTGAGCAGCTGTGGCCGTTCCAAAACAAAGTGCCAAATCTCAACAGAGGAGCTGCAGTCAAGTGGAAAATTTCTGCCTGACCTCTGCTCTCGCTATTAATTTGCAGGAAAACTAATGACACATATACATATTCCCACAAAATTGTTCTAATTGCTAATTTGCCAAAGGAGCCCAGTTTCCAAATTAAACATGACTGCAGTCTGCGAGGAAAGAGAGAACAAAAAGCTGGAACGCAGCGAGCGCGCTGCCTTTCACCTCCGCCGACCATTGGCGAGCCTGAACCAACAAGTTAATGAAACACGACCTTGTCCAGCGCCAGCCAAGGCTTTCCCTTTTCCGTGTTTTATGTGATGACACTCTCCTCTTCCAGCGGGGTCCGGTCACCAAAACACGAGCTGGGGTACAGGAGGAGAGGGCTGCTCCCTCCCCAGACCCTCGCTGCCGCTTGCTTTGTTGCATCTACAGCGCCAAGGCTGAAAAATCGGTTGTGAATTAGAGCAGAATAACAAATTATGAATGGTGTTGGTTTTGGTGCCATCTTGAAATACTAATCTGAACAGTAAACTATTAAATCTTAATACTGGCGTCAATTAGAAACGTGAAATGGCAGAGGATGATTGTGAGGGCAGAGATCAGGGAGGGACTGGGCTGGGTTTCTTTTCCTGATGGGAACTTGACGTGGTTTCTCCCTGCTTGCATTTTCTATTTAAAAACAAGTTACTACAATTAGAAAAGTTGTTCACCTCGGTATTTTGTGCACAGCCCGTTTCCCACATACAATGATTTTTTGGGTGAGGTGTTGGTGCTGTCAGAGCGGAGGGAGCCCCAGTCACAGAGCGAGCACCTTGATGAGCCCTGGTGCTGCAGGAAGGCGAGGGCAGAGCAGGATCCAGGCAGCCGGGGAGCACAGCCCTGGCACCACAGGGTTCACTGGTTTTGGGATGTTTGTACTGGGGATGGGGGGAACGATTCCCCCCAGTCCTAAAAATAACCCAACAAAAACCCAAAACAACAAGGGGAAAAATACCACAGCAGAAAACCCACCAAAACACACAAGTTTGAGGTCCTAAAATGCGGCAAATTCAATCACGGGTCCTTGTTGGGTGCTTTGTTCAGGTTTGGTTTCTGAGAACAGCTCCTCGTACTGCTTTAACTTAATCATAAATGCCGTAATTGTTTCAGCGCTCAATATCCTGCTTAGGATGTTATTATTAACCTTCCCTTTCAAGAAATAGTGATGGCTTCCTATTAGAGGTGAAGACTGAGTCATTTTCTTTTTTCCTCTAGATACAAACAAGGCCGAGAGGTAACCCTCCCCTTCACCCCGTAAAATAGATTTCCAGTAAGTGGCTCTCCCATTAGGGCTCAGTCTGATTTCTTTTGCTGTAAACATTTTACATGGCGATAGTGGCTGCACATTCAAAAAAGCCCCTGAAACTCTTTTAAAAGAAAAAAAAACATATATATGTATATATACGTGACTCCTCTGCAATGAGGATTTATCTGCACTGAGTTCCTGGGACTGAAACACTCCGGAGCAGAGACTTTTAGTCTTGACACCAGGGGTGGGAGAGAAAGCAAACGCTGGGCCTAAAACTTCATTAAATGCTGCGTCTTCCTCTCCCGTCAGCCTGGACACACCAGTGCACTCGATGCAGAGCCTGGCAGGCAGCAATCACTTAGCAGGTGTTGTTATTGGCAGGAACACTAAGGAAACCAAAGCTGAGGAGTGAGACTTAATGAAAACCAGTATATAAAAACAGCTCTTGTTGTGCTTGAGAATCTCTCTTTATTGCTGCGTATCGTTATTTTTTCAAACTATAAAGTAGGGCTACAGCAGCTAAAATGCTCAGTCATTACCTCAACAGTTAAAAGACTATTTTTTTTTAATGCTTTGTTATTACAGTTGCTAAAAACAGTATTTCAAAACAATCGTAACTGCTATGGTTAGGGTAAAAAAATACATTAAAGAGGGGCTATCTAACAGTGCGTTTTACTTAAAGTACCAAAAGTTTCTTTAAAAGTTTTCTGTCTATTTTTAAAAGATGGTTATAGCACCTACTATGCAGAATTACTTGTTGGTTGATGCTTTTTCTTTTCTCTTCCCTTCCTATGAACTTTGACATCAGTTAATCCCACAAAAAGCACACTTCAATTTCAACCTCTTATGCAGATCACTAACACCAACGAACACAGCATCAAGGGGAAGGTGTCTTAACAGCAAAACTAGCACGATAACTCTTGAGAAATTGTTGTTCGGCCTTTTGTGTTGTGGTTTTGCTTGTTTTTCTTACTTTGAAAAAAATCCACCATATAAAAACAGGTCACAGCGTATTCCTCCACAGCTGTGTTCTCACTTTGTCCTTCACTCTCACCAAAACAACACGTGTAGCAGCAGCAGGAACAACTCTGCCTGCTCCAAGCGCTAAGTTGTGAGATACTTCCATTTTCTCTTAAAGTGCTGCACCGCTGGGCATTTCAATGATGAAGTGGGACACTTTTAAGGGTGGCACTGAGCACTGCCCCGGCTCCTGAGGGGCTCTCCCTCCCCAGCCACCCCCTGCCTGCCCGGCAGCTCCTCAGGAACAAGGCACCAACAGCAACCTCCCCATGTACATCCCTATCCCCCAGTGATTCAGGCAATCCGCCACTATGCTACTTAAGAATGTGCTTAAACCCCATCTAACAGGACTGAAGAGCTTTACTGAGCAGACGTCTTGGTGGACTGCTACGGCAAAACGCACGGGTTGCTCCACCACTCTTCCCAAGGGCACAACTACTGCGAGGAGCTAAACCTGGGTGGGATGTGGTGGATGGACATGGCTGGGCTGGACAAGCAACGCTGCCCTGGAGCCGGATGAGTTCTGAACTGATGAACGACAACCAAGAACCTGCTGTGGTCCCACCAGTCCCAAACCACCTGCTCAGCTATCGCCTGCAGCCCAAAAGGCAAAGGTGGTACCAGTGGTCAGTGTGAGTTATGAATGGCACTGGGCGTACGGTGAGCAGCTCGGTCACCGTTTTACCTGCCAGTAACACGACAGCTTAAAAAGAAGCATGAAGATCCTTTGAGCAGAATAAAAACATCTCCTCAGTCATGAAAAGGCTGTCATTTTAAATCCCGACTCGCTGCTATGTTTGGATTCGCAGCCGCTCTTTCCTTTAAAACCAGCGATGTACCAGAATATATTAATTCTAAAATACACCTTGCATTAGTTATGCTGGCAAAAAAAAATTAATTACTGGATGTAAAGAATACTTTGCACTGCAATAATGGTCATCAGATCTTTTTACCAAAGTCCTATCCCACTGAGTTAAAAGGACCAGGGTCTAGCACAGTCTATGCGGTGCCTGTGTATTTTTTTCACTAGGAAAGCACAATTTATGCAAAACACTATACTTCTACATTTTATAATTAATTTTCAAATGCTTCACCTATACATATTTTAATAATTTCTGATTTATCAGATGGTATCTATAATAAATTTTTCTATATTTCAATAAATGAAAAGAAGGCAGTTTCAATCCAACAACAGAGTGCCACACAATATAGGCCTGTCAGGCACCAATTTTTACTTCTAACATGTAAGTTAAAGGATAAGGAATTTATAATGCTGCCTGTGAACGAAACCACTTTTCATACACAAATGTGATCTTTTTTTTTCCAAAGGGTAATACAACAGTACATTTACATAAACTAATCCAAACAATCTATGTATTTGACAATGGCAAACCTCACACAGACTGCCTATTGTTGGTTTACATCTTGGAGTTCTTTATGTTGGCTTGTAACACTGCTCTAGCTGTCAAAGGTTTGACTTGGACTCTAAATAAATGGTTATAGAAGTGCTGTGCAGCGATATTGGACTTCTTTGCAAAAGAAAACCTGCTGTGTATGAATTCAAAAGCTATTAATTTTTCAGTCAAAAACATTCATGCCTATTTCTTTTAATAAAGAAACACTGTGCTGAGCAACTGAGAGATAATGTTGACTAGTGGTACAGAATTTTCAATAGAGCAGTTAAAAATAAATTTAGTAGGAGGTCCCCAACAAAGCTATAATTTTCCAGAATGTAAAACATTTTTAATACTAATCAAGACAGCCCTTTTCCCCCTGCGCTCACTTCGTCTTTTTTTATTTTTTATTTTTTTCCTGCTGCTTTTCCCTGTTTATTAGCTGTTAACACTAATCTTCATGGCGACACCGCCTGGTATCTCCGTAGCCTACACCGCCCACCAAAGCTCCCTGCCCTCCGCGGCCGAGCATCGATCACGAGCTGCCTTGCCAAGCGCCGCTCGCCTTCCTGTGATTTCCTCCCTTTAGTTTTTAATCCTTCCTCCTGAGGGGCGCTGCTGTTATGAAAGGCCTCCAGGCAGAGTGCTTTGAGACTCCCAGATTATTCCGCTGTTTTAATTTTTAATCCAGTAAGAGCTATAGAAACTAAACCTCCTCCCCATTCTGTTGGGTCTACAGACTTTGCCAACAACGCGCTGAGGCATTTGCATTTGGGCTGAGGTGGATGTGAGGAACGAGAAGAATGCTATTCTTATAGATACTGTGAGTAGTTCCTACTCAAGAGGGCTGGTATCCACCAGAGCAAGCAATTTTTGGCACCTCAACAGCTGAAATGGAAGGGTTGGTACCTACCACTCAACTCTCTCCAAGAAGGCACCCAAATTTCCCGTTGGCTTTGACATCTGCTCCAGTGTTGCTGAATCGCCTGCAGTTTTCTGTCTAGTAGCCTCCCTATGCACTTCTGCAGCCATTTATTTCCAACTACACGGAAACTGAGAAATCCTTTTCTAGTAAAAACGGGTGCGCGAAGTGTTTAATGATTTTATGTTCTCTATCTCTGTAATGTGTTCTGTTTCAGACATTAATTTTGTCTACCAACTGCATCTTGGCAGGCTACCATATTTGCTGGGTTAATAGTCTGACTCCTTTTTATTTCTATCACCATAAATCACACATATATGGGTGTGTGTTTGCTTTATTTATAGAAAAAAAATCAGTCAAAACAGATAAACCAATACTTTGTCATTATGCTGCATCATTGCATATTGATTAAAATTGCTAGTACTAACTATAGATTGTCAACGCTCAATTAATTTTCACACAATGACTCAAAGCAAAATCAAATAAAGCCAGTGTACCTTTAAATCTTACAAATCTTAAAATCAAGCAGCAAAGCACTCTCTCCATTTTGAATAATCATCAGAAGCTCTGAGGAACATTTCCAGCATTAGGAGTCTGGGAGACAACAACAGCTGAAGAAGGGTCACTTTGGTCAGGAAGGCGATGGTGGATGTGCCTGGGTTTGGGGGTACCCAGGGGTTCTCTTGGGCTGCAAAGCTGCTGCCTTCCCCCACACCCCCTGTTTTAAAGGGCAATCTGAGGTGGAGAAGGTTTCCTTTCTCAGTTTCAACAGTATAAAACCTGATACAGGGTAACAGCGGTTACCACCAAAACATGCGGCTAGAATCTCTTCTACTGTAAATGTCTCTCAGACGGGGCAAAATCAAAATAAATATACTGAAGATAACTTAATTAAATCTCCTTCCTAACACTTGCTAAGATTTCATGCAAGTTGGGCTGCTGTGAGTTACAGGCTAGTACGTGAGGCCAGAAAAAGGCCCAACGCATCAGCTTTAGAGCAGAACTTGTTTCCAACTCCCTGCAGAGAGGGGGACAACAAAGCCCGGGTGCCCACAGTGTTGCTGCCTCCTGCACAGCAGCGCTTTGCACCTCCCCACCACGACCAGCTCTGAAGCTTCACATCACACGCTCGGGTGGGGAACAGGAAAGAGGGGTTTGGCGTGAGGTTTTGTCTGCATTTGGCACAGCTCGGTACTTACGGGCTGAGGGGTGGCTTTTGGTTCAGTCGACTTCACGTGCAGGTGTGTCATCATGGCTTGCAGGCGCTCTTTATCTTTTGCAAGCTGAAGGGGGGGAGAAGGAAAAAAAAATGCTCTGTTACTCATACAAATAAAACCCAGCCTCTGCTTATTCCTAATTAAACAGCTGGCACCGAGGCATGAGACAGAAGAGTTTTATTGCTGAGTAGTTTGGAAATTGTATATGGCCTATTCGTGAGGTAAAGCTAAGGCATGGTGCTGGGTGTCACTGTTTCCCAAAGCAAAATGCATTAGCCCTTGAGTGAGAAGAGCTAGACGTGCCGGCACCAAGAGCTTCACTCCAGCCCTGACAGCTGAAAGACAACAGTGAATCATGGTTATTAACCAGCCCCGCTCCAGCACGGGAGGCGCAGCAGAGAGCGAGCAGCTCCGAGATGCGCCTGCCTCTCTTCAGAGCAGAAAACACTCAGCACCAGGGGATCATGGCTTTTGCATCACATACAGGCTTTGTGGCCAGCACAGAGACACCCCGAGCATGGGGCAGGAGCTGCAATGGCAGTTGGCAGCATCCCTTTGCCCAAGGGCAGCAGGGTGGGAAAGGCTAACGGCGTCAGGAACCGCCTCATCTCAGGGCACCCAATGCCACAGGACCAATGCTGTCACCCTTTCCCATCGGTCACATCATGCCCAAGAGCTGGGCAAAACTCCTGCTCTGGGTGTTTCGTGGGTGTTTTTGTCTTGAGATCTGCACCCATCTTGGGATCACATCGTACACATCCTTGGCCAGGGCAGCTTCCCAATGCATTTAGAAGACAGTGGCCAGACAGTAAATCTCATTCTTTTTGGAAACAATACATTTTTTGTACGTGTGAACAGGACTTTTTCCAGCTGCTCTTCAAAAAAAACAATACAGCGGAAAGATATTAAGAAATAATGCTAATGAAAAAGGGGTGTTATTAACCTCCATGCCCAACATAAAGGCTCCTGTTTCCAGCAGGACTTGTATCAGGTTCTTCCAAATGACAATTTTTGCAGAGCTGAGGTTTTGCTTTAGACAAGCCAGGTTCCTGGTGCCAAGAGAAGCCTGCTCACATTCCCGCAAAACTTTAAACAACCTGCCCACCTTATCACTGATGTCTGTTTGTAGCAGCAAAGTTGGGCTAAGGGTATATAAAAGGAGACTTGGTCATAAATCCCCAGTCCTAATCTCACAAAGTTGTCCTGCTCTTCGCAAGGTGAGAGGTTTCTGACCGTGCCAGAAAGGCATCACAATAGGATAAAACCTGGCACACAGGTTTCCAAGACAGGAATTAAACAGAGGAAAAAATGGTGTCACCACTGCGTGCTCTGGAAGTGCAGAAGCAAAAATGGCTGGGCTTCTCAAGCAGCGGCTCTTTCTTGGTCAAGAATCTCGATGATTGATGAGAAAACCTGGCACCTCCAGCAGATCTCCTGCAATCTCCTCACCAGATCTGTGCTGGACTGCCGGAGGGCAGCGCTGGGCTCTTATCATAGTGCTGCAGCAGAAACTTCTCCCTCTGAGAGTTCTCTGAGGACCTCTTCAGAGAAAGGAGAGGTCTGGCCCCTCAGCTGCTGTGCTTCACACGAGCAAATTAACACTGAGAAACTGCCGTATCCCCAGCGCAGCTCTGTTGTGCAATCTCTCCCCCATAGCAGTGGCTGGGCACATGGGCTGCCGGGCAGGGTCATCTGCACGTTACATTTTGGTCTGCAGGAGGAACAGCATCTTCCAGTCAAAATCAAGAACAGGCAGGCACCCGAGAGCTTCCCGCCTGCACCAGCACCACGCGGGAGGTAAAGGCACCTGGGCAGCACGGGGCACACTCTGCAGTGCCTCCTCCGGGCTCCCTGGGCCAGGTGGATTGGGGGACATCTCCCTTCATGGGCTGGGGTCCTCATTGGTAGTGTCTGCACCCATCGCCTTAGCAATGCTTTTAACGGTGGCTCCGGTGGAGGGAGGTTATTAAAGATCCTCTCCACATTTCAGGCAGACACACGCTCGCGTTTTGTCATAGTCTAGGAATTCAAACACTCACCCAGTTTAGGCAGGAGTTTAAATTATGAAAAATAGAGGTCTCTCAGTTTCAAAGCACTGACGAGAAGTAAAAAAATCTGAAGAATTTCTTTAAACTGCTTTTCCCTTAGGTCAGGAAGCAGGAGTGATCTAAAACTAGAATGTCACTGGTAGCCCTTCTGGTCAGTGGGGTCATGCCAAAGCAGCCACAAGGGCTTGTTTGGCCACCAATGGAAGCCAATTCTCACTGGTGGCACTCGCTGGAATGCAAATGGTCCAGAAGTGGGGATCATTAGGAGATGTGCAGGAGAACGCTCCTGATCTACTGGTAGTGTTCTTGGGCACAGACTGTTGTGCCATGTAGGAAAGGCTCTGCTCTGTACAGGGGGTCTGAGAACTACAATGCTGTCCCATCTCCTTCTTTTGTCCTAGATCCATTTGGAAAGCTCTGCATGGCCTGAGTTTTCAGATGGCCACCCGGTTCTCCAGGAGAAGCCTGATTTTGTGAGGTTTCACTCACCTCTGTGGGGTACAACCATGATGCAGGTGCCTAAGTGGGGTTCAAGAGAAAACACATCCACAGCAAGGGACCTGTTCTGCAGACCTGGACACCAAGACACATGCCTTGCCCCACAGAGGTTAAATCCTAACACTACAGGGGTAGGAAAGGCAGGAGAGGGAAGGCACAGAAAGCACAGGCCAGAAGGAGCTGAAGGAGAGGGGGCAGCATGGGAGCTGGACAACCAAGAGGGAAGAGAGAAGGCATCAGGCACAGAGGATGCACAGGAGGAAAACCAGACATAAAGCAACTGCAAGGAGCAAGAAAGTGAAAATGGAAACCCAGTGAGCACATTGAACAAGAGCAACAGGACCACATCAACAGGAAGGGGAGATTCAGCAGCAGGAATTTGGGCAGACCAAGGAGAAAGGAGAAGGAAGCCGGTCATGGGCAATGCAAGAGACAACTGAGATGTGGCCTCTTCCCTCCCGTTCTGCGCCTGGTGAGGCTGAGCACTACCCAGGTTTGGGAGCCACTTTTCAAGTGTCAGTGGATGCTTTAGGAAAACAGGCCCAAGTAGTGCTCTGCAGTGAAAACAGCCAGCTGTCTTCATGTTCTCCCATAGGAGACACTTCTTAAACTTATCATGGCCTTGGTGCTGTCCTGAAATGTTTTTCCACTGAAAGGTGGTGCTGAAAAATTGATGCCCTATTCCACCTAAGATCTAACTGAGGATAGGGATATGTTCCTGTGTTTGTGTTTTACCCAGCAGCCCAAATCTCACTATTTACAATGGCAACAAATGATTGTGTCAAGATGGTTTAAACAAAGTGAAATATGAGCAGATCTCTACCTTGCCTGTGATATTTTAAGTATGTTTGTGATGGAAATGCTGAGACCAAATCTGCAAAGGGGCATCTGCAATCAAACACAAAACAGATCTAACCTGGTTTTTCCAAAAAGTTCAGTTAAAAATTAGTTTCTCTAAAAGATACGACACCTATCTCTGTCTACAACACTGGTAAAACTCTTGTGCTTAAATTAAATAAGAGCACAAAGCAAAAAAGAAGATGCTTGCATTTGGGTCCAGGATACTCAAAACTCGAAGTGCATCCCTCAGATGGAATAGATTTGTTAAACTCTGCCCTGTCTTGATGCGACTGTACATGCATGAAATGGTGTGGCACTTGAGTCTTGCCATGGTGATGGACCCTGAGCAGCACATGATGCTTCACAGCTCCACTGGGAGACAAAGCTTCTTGGTGCTGAGCCCTGTGGTCAAGGGGGGAAGGCGGTGGGTCCCTCTCCTGTCTGTCTCACAAAATTCAGCTGGACACAGCGCTTGCTGTCACCTCTCTGCTGGCAACTGTGCCACTGCAGAAGCATTAGGTCGATGGTCTCAGTCCCCCTGCTCCTGCTCCAACATGCTGGATTGCTGCAGGTCACATCACTGAAACCTCGCAATTGGGCCAGACTTCCGTTTTATTATGGTTCTGTGCAAAAAGAGGTCACAGACAGACAAACCAGGCACTGGAGGACAAACCCTCATACATATTTAAAGTACCAGAGGACTGATGTGCAGGATGAAAGAGAGGGAGAAGGAGGAGTTGCCGGGGCAGAACCACCCTCCTCCTGCACCCACCCTTGCTGGCCAATGCATCAGTGGTCTCACTCTGTTATCAACATCCCTGTCTAAATTCGGCCTCCAGTTCATCCTAGCTACTGTGCTGCTGTGACTGTTAAAAACAGATCCAAAGCTTTTTGACCCTCACACCACCTGGAAATGATGTTCTTGTCTTGGGGACCTTCTGCTGCCTTCCCAGGCGGTGACTCTAAGCCAAGCGGCCGAAGCCAAGCACCGAAGGGCCGTGAAGCTGTACCCATCCCTCACTTACAGCAATTAGCAGAATGCACCGCTGATAAGATCTTTCAGAAATACTCTCAAGGGCTTATGGAGAGGTGGTAACCACGTATCATCTCTGTCCTGTTTAACTGTGAACACAGGGCATCCTCCTGCAGTCCCAGGGACAGCCATTCCAAGCAGCAACGCTCTTCAAGCTGCCTGCACTGGAGAATCTCCATTTACCTTCAGCCTGAATGCTGCTGCATCTTGGCAAAAGATTATCATCTCGTATCTGAATTTACCAAGAAGACTGCAGATTTATTTTTTTTCTTCCCCCAATTCCCAAGAAACTTGTTAAAATAGCAGCTCACGACGCTTTTTGCAAGACTCCTGATATTTTAGGACTGGTAGTTTGATTTTTATAAAACTTGTATTAAAATAGTTTATATTGCTCCAGCTAATAGAGAAAGAGAGTCATGACCAGCGTGTTCCTGAAAGTAAAATTTAGGAAATATCTATGAAAGAAAAAGGGTAATTTGTAAGATAAGAAGATAAAAGGCATTTTTTTTAAAATGCTTATCTTGAAAAGTAACAACAAGAAGTTTAAGTGTGTTTTTGCTGATTTTTCTCTCCAACTATTTGAAGCTATAAATGACTTAACTCAGTAAAATTCCAAATGTAATTATCTTCTGTACTTAGCCCAAGGCTTTCCATATATCTCTACACTGCTGTCTTGCATACAAAATAGCTGGTTTTTCAAGAGCTGGTAACTATATAATGTACAACATTGTTTTAATTTCCCCTTCTCTGCTAACCTCTTGCCTACACGCAGCCACAGCCGGAGCCGCCCAGCAGAGAGCGAGGTGCAGGGACACACAGAGGACTTGACAGCATTTGGCAAGGCAGTTACACACACAGGGCACACCTTGGCATCGCATTCAACACATTCCAATTTACACCCTTTTGGCACTTTTAAAAAACTCATTTGCTACAAATGGCAAAAAATAATAGTAATAAGAATAATAACACATGGAGAGTGTTAGTACATGAGAGACCATCAAACAAGCCAGGTCATGCAGCGGTTTGAAATAAACATCAGCCATTTCCCCCGTGGATCAACATCTCTAAACGAAGGGGACCACATTCTGCTTGCCCCCCGCCGCCCCCCCGGGTGAGCATAAAAGGCATTAGATACACAGTGATGGATTTCCAATCCGTCAGCCTGTTTAAGTTTCCTATTTCTTTTCAAGTTACGGTTTAGAAAAGAGGAAATGAAGCTGCAGTTTCTTTTGACGTTTTTTAAAACTACTACAAGAAGGTTTTGAAAGCTGGTTTTCAATCACAGGGGGAAAAGCAGAACTCATTTTTTATTGCTGTCGAGAATTGGATTTGATTAATACTGAGGTAATATTAAAATAAATTTTATTTTACCTGTAGCTCTAACTGCTGTACAACCTGCATTTGTACTCTACATTGGGCTGTACTTCTATCATCCAGCGCATGCTCACTGTTGAGATGTCTGTAACAATACACAGAAAATCATTAAGTGAAATGGATAAACAAAAAGGAAAAAGTAGTTACCAGGATGAATAAGCAATCTGAATGTTATCCAGCAGCTCTTCATCAATAGCTGAGATTTTTAAGATTGGTTTTTATTTTTTTTCCTCTGTCCTGCTTTGGGCATCTTCCCATCACTCATTAAATCTTAAGCACATTTTTTCCAAAGAACGCTCATTTGTATTTAAGAGAAATTTTGCAGAACAGTTGTTTTTCCTCCATTAGGTAAATGAAAG